ACTTCCTAGCTTGTTTCTTAATAAATTTAATGGTAACACAGAGCCTTCTCGCATCATGGTATTATTGAATTCCTAAATCTTCAGCTCCGAAGAACTTCACTTGGACTATTAGCAAACATCTATCGACCCCCTTTTCTGTGCCAGGTTGTCCATATATATTATCCCATTAGGGCCTCCCCGTCACACTAGGAGGTAGATAGCATCGAGCATTTCACAGAAGGATAAAAGGACGCTCAGAGGAGCCCAGGCCCAAGGCCCTGCCCGCAGCTGGGAGACGGCAGGGCGGGAATCGGAACCTGCCAGGTCTGCCTGGTGCCTGTTCCAGGGCTGGCCTGCTGCACCCCAGCTGCTGCCCTCCCGTTGCGTAAAGCTGGGACAGCTGCCAGGACCCCCCACTTGAATTCTGGAGCTAACTGAGCAGAAACCAAGGGGTAGCTTGGCAGGCAGGAAGTAGGCAGACTGCTCTTGCAGCCGAACACAGACAAGGCACAGCCCAAGCCTGTGTCCAGGGCGCCAAGACGTATGCCGTCTCCTCCCCCTCCATCACCATCATCGATGAGAGGAGAATGGGTGAGTGCTGACGGCTGTCTTGTTTGGTTTTCTCTTGGTGGGTAAATAGCATCCAGGTCTAGTCATAGATGGAGATGCAGAGAAAAGCTGAAAGGAGAGAAAGGATGGCAGGGCGGTGTATTTGCCAAGGGGCCGCCCTATGCAGATGGGAAAGTAGGCATCCAGCAAGGCAGCAGTGCCCCCTGATCACCCATCAGATGCCCGACGTGGTTGGCCCAGCCCCCCCGCCCCCAGAGGAGTAGCTCTCTTGCGTTATGTTCCGAGCCACCTAACCAAAGCACCGTCAGTCTCCGTTTGCACAAGATTTTGGAAAGATGGTCCTCAAGACTGTTTGAATCCAGACATTAAATAAAAAGAAACTGCTCATCTGCGAGCACAGGATGTGTGGCAGGTACTTATTATAGAGCAGAGGCTTTGATATGTTATCTTGTTTAATCACCACAAGAAACAGATGAAGGAGATATTTTAACCTCTCTTTGCAGACACAGAAGCTGACTGGGGATCTGGGAAGGTCTTTGTTCAGGCTGCACAAGGGGCTGCGGCAGGATTGGAGCTCAGCTCCGTCAGGGCCATGGTCATGCCCAGCCCACTCTGTCCCACCTACGGCCGGTCAGTCCCAGAGCAGAGGACCTGGTGGCTGCTGGGAATGTGGACCTCAGAGGCATCAGTTCATCATCTGTTAGGACCCCCAGACCCCCTTAGGATGTGAATGAACTTCTCCCTTAGAAGTGCACAACCCACTCCAGAGTAATAGAATTTCAGGGAGGCCATGACCTCTTCAGTCTCATCTGGACCATAGCTGATGATCACCTTCTCTCTAGAGAAATTATTCTCTTCAGGTCCAATCAAAGTCATATTTGAACCTTCATTCTCCGTGTCTTTGAACTTGAAGTTATAATCCCCAGGCTGCAGCTGTCCTTGGCTCCGATAATGGAAATTGATGAGTAGTCCACAACTGAGGCCTGCGTCTGACACTGAAATATGATGCTGGGACCTTTTTTTTGACCTGGTTGATTTTTAGACAAAAAAATAAAATCAAACAACAACAAACAACTCTAGTTTATGTGCTACCCCATCTAGAGTCCTCGAGAAGAAAAGGAAGGGAGGAAGAAAATAAATTCCATATATCTATTTTTTAATTTTAGAGAGAGAGAGAAAAGATAGATTTGTTGTTCCACTTATTTATGCATTCATTGGTTGCTTCTTGTATGTGCCCTGACCGGAATCGAACCTGCAACCTTGGCATATGAGGATGACACCCTAACCAACTGAGCTACCCGGGCAGGGCCCTCGTATATAATCTTTGCATAATCGTTCAATTTAGATTTTTCAAATCTCAGTGATCTAGCTTTCACAGCTTCTTTGAGTAATTATGTTTTCACATTTAAATGTCATAACCCTCTAAAAGAAGGAGGAAGAATCCCAAGGGAAATTGTTTATTCTTCTGACAAAGCATGAAGCAGTCTAAAGCTGGGTTTGTACACATTAACTGATTTAATCTCAGTTAACATATGCTGAGCACCTACTGTTTGCTCAGCACATACAAAATACTTTGGTATACATTATCTCATTTTATCCCTTCACCCCCAGCAACCCCGTAAGGGAGACAAGAACAGAACTGTCACCTTTCACAGAAGAGGAAATGAGGTCCAGAGTGGCCCTGTGACCTACCCGAGGTTAAGCATAGGTGTGAACTGACAGCCACGTCTGAAACTCAGGTTCCAGACTCCACATCCTGTTTGCTTATGCCTCAACCTGCGTGTGAAACAACATTTCAGATGCAGGTCAGGGATGGGGACTTGCTGAACATCATGCAAATACCAAGAAAGCAATCCCGCGAGCACATGAGGCTTAGTTCTCCTGTTGATTAGGCAACTTCATCCTCCCAACACTGGGGGCTCACTCTCGGGTCTCCTTTGCTGTGAAGCCCCATGACTACCACCTAGGAACCTGGGGTCCCTTGTCACACTGGGTCCTGATCCCCCGGTGCCCTCTGCGGGGAGCTCTCCAAGGGTAGGAAATCTCTGACTAAGAGTCAGCACATCAGGGGCACCAGATTGAGGAATTGGCCTGACACCGTTGCCGTGGCAACGTCTACTTGACTTGGCCTCTGACCAAATGTCTAGGCCGGTGAACAAACAGGAGGAAGTAAGGATGACTCAGGGCATCCCCAGTCACCAGGAGGATGACTCAGCTGTTCAGCAAAAGGGGACAGGCAGGAGGCCAGTCTTGGGTGATGGGAATTTCTGCAAAGGCCTTGTGTTCCCTGAAAAGCCGAGGTTTGCTGAAGTGCAGGGATCACCTCTCGGTCATCTCCACATCCCCTGCAGAGCCTGCCCGGCTCTAGGCAATGTCCAGTAAGTGGTGGTTCCGTGTTGTCCAGCTAATGCCAATTTGTGTACCAGCACAGTCCACAGTGTTTTTCAAAGTGAAATCCCTTCTGATGCTGCAGATAGCATTTTTAAGTTAATAAAATAGAAGAGAAGTAAAAAGAAAAAAAATGAGAGTGCTTTATGTAATAATAGTAAGAGTCAGTATTATTCTCCATGAAGTTGTTTTTTGTTTTGTTTTTTTTGTTTTTTTCATGGAGAACATGAAGAGTGTATGTGTGGTGGTGGTGGTGGTGGTGGTGGTGGTGGTGGTGCGTGTACTGGGTCCTGATATAAAATACATTCTTATTCCGGGTCACAGTCAAAAAGGTTTGAAAAACAATGGTTTAAAGAATAATCTTAGGAAGAAACTTACTTGACCAGTTTCCTGATTATAGGAACATTGAAACTGAATCATCATTTGCATTTGCATCATTCGTCTGTTCATTCATTATTCATCCAGAAAAGGTCTTCTGTAGCTACCTTCTCCGTTGTATCAGCCTTTAGGTGTGAAGGTGAAACCTTCAGGAACAAGCGACTGGCTCGGTATGGCTGGAGCCACTAATGAGGCAGCAGGGGCCAGAAGAGGCGTGTGACAGGTGCCACTGCACGTCCACCCATCTTCAGAGGAGGAACCTTTGTTTGCTGAGCTTTTGTGGTTCAAGCAGAATGAGGAGTGGACTTGAACTACTGACCTTTGAACTACAGACATTCTGTCTGTTTCCCCTCGCCCTGCCAGTTGTCTTAAATAATTCAGCACCTATATATTGATACTATCCTATTGTTCCTAAATTATGCTGTTGCCAGTCTTGTCTCTTTAGTTGGTTCATAAACTACTTAAATGCATCTTCTGCTTCTTTTGCATCTTCAAAATGCCTAACATGGTTGGGAATATAGCAGGTATTCAATAAGTGCTTTCTACTTATTGACAACTATTCATTATTCAGGTCCCATGCCTTCGTTCCTCATTTCCTCCTACCATAGAGAATTTATCACATGGCCTTGTGCTTTGTGTGTATCAGCTGCCTCCTTTGCTGAAACTGTGAGCCCACTGAGAACAGGAGTGTATGTATTCTGTCCATCACTGTGTCCTCAGCCCCTAACACAGCTCAGTGCCTGCCTTGTTCATTGTATCTTCATATACTCAGCGATTGGCACTTCATAGGTGTATCTGTTAGTTATCGTCATCATAATGCTGAGTAACAAACAACCCCCCACTATCTCAAAGACATACCAAGTGAACATGTGTGTTTGTGGGGCAGCTCTAAGCTTCAGGTTGGCACTGGGTTTGCTCTGTGTCTCTCTCACCCTCCTTAGACCAGAAGCCTAGGCAGGGCATGTTTCTCTCATGATGATGGCAGAGGTGCAAGAGAGCACGTTCAACTGCACAGGTGCTCTGCAGGCCTTGAGTTCCATCGTGTTCATGTACATACCTTTGGCCAGAGTGAGTCATGAAGCCCAAAGGCAAGGAGCAAGGAAGCACACTCTGCCTTTGGAGGTTGGGACCGGGTAATACTTCTGCCTAAAGTACCAGAGTAAGTGCTGAGGTTCTCGCTAAGTGTCTATGGAATGGAAAGGAAGGGAAGGGATTTCCATGGGACTCTTTACCCCCTGGCATTGAGCTCTCCAGAGAAAGCGAGAGCCTTATCTAACAGATAACAACCCAGCCAAGGGAGTTCAATTTGTTGGGCAAATAAAGCAAGTCCTCAGAAGTGACTGCAGCAGAGGCCGTCCCCCCAGGACACCCAGTGGATAATAGCTGCCTCTGGGGTGGAGAATGAGGCATCGCTGAGCAGATAGAATCCTGCTCTGTTTTGTGTCCTGTGGAAATGTGCATACAGACCAATGCCCGCATATTTGTTAAAATTAGCAGGTCAGGGCCTTGAGGAAACCTTTTAAAATAGCCAGATATCATTTCTGAAGGGAGTCTGGGTTGTCACCTTGGGTTTGTGGTCCCAGCTCTGGTGTGGTTCAAGGCTGTGCTCAGTTTGATGCTCCTCCTTTTGTTAGCCAAAAAGTAACGATCTGTTCTCTCTTCATTCCCCCCTCCCCGGCCTGCAGGAGTGCTGTGCCTGCCAGACAGCCTGAATCTGCACAGGGACCCGCAGCGGTCAAACAAGCCGGGAGAAATGCCCATGTTCAGCCAGTCGGAGCTGAGGACCATCGAGCAGTCCTTGCTGGCCACCCGCGTGGGCAGCATCGCAGAACTGAGTAAGTGGATGCACGTTCTCTCGCCCTCTCTGTCCCTCAGGTGCCCCCGCCGCAGGGCAGGGCTTGGTGGCCAGCCAGGTGGTGCCTTTCATTGAGCACCTGCCGTGGGCACAAAACAGTGCCGCGATGGCCGCGGGGAAGGTGAGGACTGTACCGTCAGGCAGACCTGGTCTGTGCCCTGGCCCTGCTGCTGATGTGAGTCAAGTTCCTAACCTGTTCTGAGCCTCAGTTTCCCACAACAGAGAGAATAATAGTTCTTCACTTAGAGTGTAGCTGTGGTGATTCAATGCCCATGAAGGAGTTTGCCACGTGCCTGGCACACAGCCAGGTTCTATGAACAGTGTCTGTTCACTTGCTTGTCACGGCAGGATTCCTTTAAAGCATATATCAGATCTCATCTCTCCTCTAGTCAGAATCCTCCACTGGTTCCCATCTGATCCAGAGAAAAACCAAAGTTCTCAGAATTGCTTCCAGGCCCCCCACCCATATCACTCAGACATCTTCCACTCTCCCCTCTGACCCACTGAACTGCAGCCACCCGGGCCCCACACTGTTCCTTGAACATAGCAGGCATACCTCAGGACCTTTGCACTTCCTGATCCCTCTTCCTGGACCACTCTTCCTCCAGATATCCATGACCTTCAAATCTCACCCAATGTGACCTTCTCAATGAGGCTTTCCCTGACCTATCCTATTTGAAATTAGGATACACACACACACACACACACACACACACATACACACACACACACATACACACACACACACCGACCTGGCCTGCTAGCTCATTTGTTGGAGCATCATCTCATACACCATGGGTCAGTGTGTCCAATTCCCCAGTCAGAGCACATACCTGGGTTGCGAGTTCAGTCCCCAGTCAAGGCAAGTACGGGAAGCAGCTGATCAATGTTTCTCTCTCTCTTCCCTCCCCCCCCACCCCTCTCTCTCTCAAGTCAATGGACATGTCCGGGGATAAGGATAAAATTATGACCCTTTGAGGACCTTTATCCCCCTCTCTGCCTCACCCTTCTCTCCAGCAGTTACCCTATGGCATTCTCTTGTTTTTGTTGTTGTGTTGTTGTTTATTTTAATAACAGCTTCACTGAGATATAATTGAAATACAAATCACCTATTTAGAGTACACAATTCAATGATGTCTAGTCTGTTTCCTGAGCTGTGCAGCCATAACCACACTCCATTTTAGGACATTTTTATTACCCCCAAAACCTGAAACCATTAGCAGTCACTGCCCTTCCCTTAGTCACGCCCTATATTACTCTTCTATTTGTTTAATTGTCTGTCTCTCCCTACTACTATATAGTCTCAGGGAGAGTAAAGATTTTGTTTTGTTCATTGATGTAACCCCAGCCCCAAGAACACTGCCTGGCACACAGTAGGTCCTCGAGAAATACTAAGAGCAGGGAAGAGGGAGAGAGAGACAGAGGTGGCGAGAAGGGAGGGATTGTCAAGAAGGTGGGGATGCCACAGTTTGAGCAATGACGTGTTATGCTTGCACCCCCCTAATTTAGGGCTGTGCTCTCTGAACCCTGCCAACCAAAGGGAAGTAAAATCGTACTTACTTGGGATCCCGTTGATTGTCAATGACTTAGCTGTGTGTTAGTTCCCGGTGGGACTAGAGCTTTGAGCTCAGAAACGCGTGGCTTATGCTAAAGCATGAATGGGTGTGAGAGTCTGGACAATCCTGAACTGTTATAAAGCTTCGGGATCCGGAAAGCAACGTGCGCCTCCTCCCGTGGGAATTCCCTACACCAGGACAGGCATGTGGAACCTCTGGGAAGCGAGGTAGTCGCTGATTCAAGCCGTAGGGGGTCCTTACTAAATCTACTTTCCTGGCACCTGAACTTGGAAACTGCATTTCTGTTCTCATCAAACCCCCAAAGTCACGAGATGCCTGCAGTCACAGGGGCTCCCCATTACCCATCATTCACTTGATTTTTCTTAAACGTTTGGGTACCATGGACCCCTTTGGCAATCTGGTGGAGCCCATGGACCCTGCCGCAGAATATTTTTAAATGCATAAAATGAAGTGCCTGTGTTTACAAAAGAAACCAATTACACTAAGATTTTCATCTAAATTGTGGTGTAGTAATTATGTGCTTTTTCAGTAGCACATTAGCAAGTTCTAGCAGCAGCTCTGATGACCCCATTAGTTGGAGGTGGTGATGTGTGCGAAGATATTCTGAGACATCTGCAACCATTGCGACGGGATGAGGGAACGTCTGCCTTTTAACAGCTCCCCGGGGATTGAGATATAGAGGGTCCGAGCAGCTCCCTCGGGGGAACATCACTCTCAGAGGAAATGCTAAGATGCACCCGGGACAGGACCCTGGAAGCACAGAGCCTGGCCACAGTGTGGTCATGTCTGCATGGGTGTAGCATGGGCACCACTCCTCTGGCCCACACACTTCGATCTCTTATGGTCTCAAAGGTTTGTCCTGGGGTATAGTTAGGACCCCTCAGGAGGCAGCCAATCAATGATTCTCTCTCATCATTGATGTTTCTATCTCTCTCTCCCTCTCCCCTCTTCTCTGAAATTAATAAAAAAAATATTGTTTTAAAAAGAAGAAGAAGAAAGGATTTGCTAAAATATCTGCACTTCGCCTAAGCAGGCAGTCTGCAGGAGCAGCTTGTGGCCTAAATTGTTTTTAAGGACAATTTGCTCTGCAAATTAAATGCTGTCATTGCGGTTGAATGTTGACTTTCGCATATGAATTGTTGGCACACAAATGGGTGCTGCTAATTGCCAGTGGGTTTTGTACATTCATTAAGCGGGGCCCCGTAGAACATATGCGAGGAAGCGCATTGGTGAGCCACGTGGGCGACTGAAGATAATGAAATTGCCTTCTTTGCTGGCCTGCCTGTGATTTAGACCAGCTTGCACTGTGGTCTGAATCAATACAGCCTTGCTCTCTCTGTGCACAAAGAGCTGTTCTTCACATTCAGAGGCTACTCTGCCGGAGTGGCTTCTAGAAACCACTGTTTTTCCAGCAAAGACGAGGTGGAGAGAATTTGTTCCCAGCCATCACGGCTCTTCTTGAATCCGGCTGTCGTCCAGGTTGGAGGGCAGAGCCCCTGACCGTGACCTTCTTAATAGCTAGTAATCATATCAGCAGCAGCTGATGTTGTTGAACTAGGAAACTATGAAAAATGAATTATCTCCACTATGGCCGTTACTGACCACATGGACATGGCAGTGGAGGTGAGAAGAGGATAAACAACTCGTCTTAGATCAACCTCACCTGTGAGCTGTAGGGCTGGAGCTTGGACCCTCTTATGGCTTGGGGTGAAAACTCACCCACTATTTGTGGAGCCCCTACTGTGTGCCAAGTGCTTTAAATACATTAATGGTATTGATGTTCCCATTTCACAGATAAGAAAACTGAGACTTGGAAGGATAAATGCCTGCCCCTAGGCAGAGTCATAATTCAAACCCAGTTGTTGTTTTTCTTTTTCTACTTTGCTGTGCTGTGTCCAATTCAGTTTTGCCTTCTGAGCACCTAACACATTGCCCATAGCTTGGGGAATATCCGAATAAATGAATGACACACAGTGAACTGGTCTGTAAAATAAATAAATAAATAAATAAATAAATAAATGAAGCTGAAGAAAATGTGACAGGTGAGGGGAACTCTTCATGAAACTCCAATAAAATGGTAAATACTCGATTGAACTGAATTTTGAATTCAGAGAACTAGAACTGAACCTCTGCATGTCTAAAATATTTGAATGAGAAGCTAAATCAAGATCCCACAAAGGTCCCCAAACATTCACAGGCTGGTGATTCTTTAACCAGAAGCCCTAGGAAATTTGCTAGGTGATGTACTGAACATCACAGGTGACCTAGAGTCTGGCAGGCAGTCCAGGTCTCTTTCCCTGAACCAGTGAGGACGTCTGGGGGTATTGGGTCCACCCAGTCTCCCCACTGAGGCCGGGTGGGAAAGCAGAGGCCCTGGGTTTTCTCACTCTTGAACCAACTCGACTCTACATTTGGTCCTGTCCCATCCCGTACCCGTGTCCTCTGAGATCTTGCCTGGACTCTCCTGGGGACATCCCAGTCATGCCCCCAAGCTCCCAATTAACCGCCCATTGGACAGTCATTAATTATAGTAATTGCTTCCTGCTGTTTAAAGGGGAAAACTGAGGACTTCATTAAAAAATGCCTCCTCCTGTAATCTTTTCACACTTAACCATGAACTTGTTGCTCCCACTCAATGAGGCAATCACAACAGGGCCATTAATTTAAAGCTGTGTGTAAAAAGGGTTTCTGGGTTGTCTATCCAATGTGTCACCAGGGAAAAAAAAGCAGGGGTGGGGGGAAGGGGAGAAAACAAAAACGCCCTAATTGCTTGGACAAGGGGGTCTCTCTCCTTGTTTGAAATGCAGATGGCTCTTCCTAGAGGCTAGCTGCCTCCGGTCCCAGGGTTGTGGGAGGTTTGAAAACGTGCTGTAGTGAGTGGTAGCTGACGGAGGATGAAATGAAGAGCAGGGGAGGATGTGAAGGTGCTGCCTAAGCTCAGGCTAACAGAGGTGCCAACTGCTGGTACGTGAGGCCGTTTGTCCCAGGGCCCTCACGTGGGGCGTGCAGGAGGATGGCTTAGTTGGAGATGCGCTGATAACCTGAGTCTGGCGGGTTAGAGTAGCATTTCCCAAACAGCAGCACAGGAGACGGTTGTAGGTGAAACAGAAAACACTTTAAATTTTTAATTGGCATGAATTTTTTATGAGTGCCAGAAAAATATTGGTTTTCCATTTATGGCACTGATAGGAGGTTTCCTTTTCCAATGAATTTATTTGTGGGGAAAGAATGAGCTAATTTAAAGAAAATATTACGTAAATAAATTGTACCTGCGGCACACAGATTACGAGGGAAGTCATGATGGTGATTCCCACATGGTTACACATGGATGTTCAAGTCGGTTCCTAGAGCCAGGCTCCCGCTGCCCAGACTCAAGGCAGCACATTACAAGTGATTTATGGTTTGGGAGTCATGAAACTGGCAGGTGAAGCAGCAGAGAGCACATACATAAAGCGGGGTTTAAAGTGGAGCTAGTGGTTGTAGAATCCCTGTGCCAATTTCATCTCCAATGGCCAGCCCTGCTCAGACATCCTTGGGGCCTCTGATCCAAGGACTAGGCTGATAACGACGGTGGTGATGATGGTGATGATGATGATGATGATGATGATGTTGACAGAAATGATGATGAAATGATGGTGGTGGTGACGATGATAATGTTGATGGAAATGATGATGAAATGTTGGTGATGATGTTGATAGAAATGATGAAATGATGATGGTGGTGGTGATAATGTTGATGGAAATGATGATGAAATGATGATGGTGGTGATGATGGCAGTCTGAGTCCAGAGAGCACCTTCCTAGCCACTGTACTACACTGCTCCTTCAGGAACAGAACAAGGACTAAGTCATGGTCTCTGCCCTGGAGGCTCCGTAGATGTGTGGATAGATAACTGGGAAACATGACAGAATTAAACAAGTAATGTTTTAGCCGTATTAGCAGGTGTTGCAGGTACACAGGGGAAGGGGAGATTGATTCTGACTGGGGGCATTCTGGAGGGCTCCATGTAGGAAGAGGCATTTGATCACAGCCTTGAAGGTCTTCAGTAGTTGGGAGCATGAGAGGATGGGCACTCTAAGGTGTGAAACAATAAGAACAAAAGCAGGGAACCTGGAAGTGCAGGGCGAGCTGAATGATGCTCAGAGGAGATGGTTAGCCTACCCGAGGCAAAAGGCTCCCCAGTGTCTTGGAGGATAGAGGGGTGGTGCCGGGGCCCTAAACACGGACCCGTTTCTTTTCTCCACTCCCTTTTGGTTTTTCTTGTTTTGAGCTTCTTTTATGGGAGCTCTCAAGAAAAACAGAAAAACAGATGGAAAGCTGAGTGTACTCCAAGTTGACCTGAGATGGAAGTTACAAGAAAATAAAAGCTACTACTTCAGGAAGCTTATAGTATCTACCAAGTAGCACACTCCATAACTCAAAACTCAGAAACTACAGAAATGCTGGATAAAAAGGAATATTACCCACAATCCCACTAGGCAGACAAATCCGTGGTCAACATTTTGATTTTTTTTTAATATTTACTCAGTACATACTTTTTAATAACATAATCCTAATCACACTGTATGCAGTTTTGAATCTCGCTCTTTTCCCACTCACCATTTTAACATCAGGGTTTTTTGTGACATGGCACCTCTGTGTAAACATTTTTAATGACTTGCATAAGTTGATGATGGTATCATGTGGATGTACCAGAGTTTATTTAACCACGCTCTTATTTTTAAACATTTGTTTCTTTGTCAACTTGTGGACCCTGTAAATAAGGTTTGGGTGAAAATCCTTGTGCAGGAAGATTTTGCTGCATTTTGGATTCCAACATTGGGACGGCGTCCCAGAAATGGAATTACTGAATCAAGGGTAAATGGCATCTGTTAACACCTTGGCTGCAAAATGCCAGCCATCCTTAAGACGGACTTGGACCTGGACCAGGCGGCACTGGGCTTCACTCAGAAAAAGAGGGTGAAGACCGCAGGCATGAGAGTCACACGTGTCCAGGTTGAAATCTGTCTCTGCTTCTGACTACCCTTGACACCTTGATCTCAGTTTCCTTTGTCGATGAAACAGGATTTCTCAGGGATCTTCAGGCACATCTTTTCTGCAAGCCTTTGCTGCCTGAGGGATCTGAACTCTTACTTCTGTCTACAGGCGACCTGGTGTCCCGAGCCATGCACCACCTGCAGCCCCTCAATGCCAAGCACCACGGCAACGGCACCCCCCTGCACCACAAGCAGGGGGCGCTCTACTGGGAGCCTGAGGCCCTGTACACCCTTTGCTATTTCATGCACTGCCCGCAAATGGAGTGGGAAAATCCCAACGTGGAGCCTTCCAAAGTCAACCTCCAGGTGGAAAGGTAAGACTTGCCTTCGCTTCGCCAAAGAGGGGAGCCCCACTCTGGCCATCACCGCCTAGTGGTGGGAGGGTGGGCACTGCCTCCTTCCATGGAGGCGCGGGGTGGGGGAGGGGAGGGATGCTGGGATCAGGATTGCCCAGCTCCCAGAGATTCACTGGAGAGGTCCAGATGGGAACCATGGGCCTGAGGAGATACCCGAGACCCTGGTGGAGTCTTAGAAGTGGGATTTCATAGAGCAGGTCCAGTTCCAGGTAAAAAAAAAAAAAATGACCTAGGTCAGAAGAGCAAGTCTGCAAATTCTGGGGGAGGTGAAGGTCTGGGTAGTGCAGGGTAGCCTCCTTGTGAAGGCAGTTTTGGGGGATGCCAGCTCCTGGAGTGTTACCTGCATTTCATTCTGGCTGCCCGAGACCCTCCGAGGGGTAGGGGGGTTAGACCATCAATACCTGCTCATCCAGAATGGGCCACGCAGGGGGGTGGGAGACTGGTTTGCTGGGGGAAGCAGAATCCTCACGGGAAAGAAAAACAGGGGAGGAAGAAGGGAGAGCTTCCTGGGAGACGAAGCCCTCTCTGACCGGCTTCTGCTGCTCCTTGGCTCCATCCTTCTGCTTCCCCATGCCTCAGTTTCCTCATCTGTAAACCAGTGGCTGAGCTAAGTGGTTCCCAAGTTCCACCCTGTCAGAGGCAGGGCGTCAGAAACCACCCTGCAGGCATCCCCACTTCCTCTGGGAACCTGTCCACAGAGCTCACCTCCCAGTGTCTCAGGAATCAGGCCCCCCCTCCACGCAGGCCTCTTTCCTCCAGCTCCCGTGGTAGTGACCCCTGTCGATCAGAACAGTGGTGAAGAGAGCAGGCTCTGTGACCCAGACACTGAGTTCAAATCCAGGCTCTTCCAATGAAAAGCCAGGGGCCTGCCCTGGTGGGCGTGGCTCAGTTGGTTGGGCATCATCTGTGTACCACAAAGTTGCCAGTTCAATTCCCAGTCAGGGCACATGCCTGGGTTGCAGTTCTCGATCCCCAATAGGGGATGTGCGGGAGGCAGCCGATCCATGTTTCTCTCTCTCCTTCTCCTTTTCTCTCTCTCTCTAAAAATCAATAAAAATATTTTATTAATCCAGGGCATCTGCATTGTAGGACTACTAAGAGTAATGCCTACGCTTCTTCGTCTGCATTGTAGGACTACTAAGAGTAATCCTTTCATGGGGCTGTTGGAAGATTAGATGAATTGAATAGTGCCCAGCACATAGTAAGTGCTCAATAAATGTTCGCTTTTTATTGTTGTAGATATTATCTGCATGTAGCTAAACAATTCCCATTTGGCCTCAGTGCAGTTTTCCTTTCTCTGTTAAATGTTTCCAAGTTGTTTTAAAATTCTCGTTGGATGCTCTGTGCCTGCCAGAATGCATTCGGGCTTAAAAGTGGGCTCCGCCACAAAACCGCGTCTCTTGGCTTTCAGTCTGGAGAAGAAGATGGAGCGTGGGCTAGACAGAAGTTGCCTTTTTTTAAAAAAAAACAACTCCCAAGTTAGCTTTAAGATTTCAAACCAGTCCGGAGTTAGCTTAAATCAGGGGCTTACTCACGTCTCCCACTATCCAGGCCAAATCAGTGGGTACCCTGTGCCTCTCTTCATGTGCCAAACATGCCCCAAATGAGAGATGGCAAAATGTCCCTGGTCCCCGGGCAGAAATAACCTCGGTCAGACACACCAAGACGCCGCTTTCTGTGAGTGTGAATCCTGAGAGTGGAGAGAATGGAAGCCGCTGGCCTGTGGAGAGCCTGTGTCTGCAGCCCCCAGCCCCCATCCACTGCTTGTACAAAGCACATTTTCTCTGACTCAACCCCTCACGTCTTCAGCTCCCACCTCTAAGCAGATGACCCCCCCTCACCATCCCCAGCCAGACATCGCCTTCTCTGACCTCCATTCTAGGAAGACCCCTAAGGTTTCCACTTTCTGGGACAAGGTTTAATGAGGATGAGCCGCCGGGGAGGACGGGAAAGAGAACACGGCCCAGGATCTGTTGGAGTCATGTATCGCGGTCTTTCCATTCCTTTTTGGTTGAATTTTCAGGCAACAACACAAAACACAAAGTGGAGCGTGTCATGTTGAGTTCTGTTCACTTTGGTCCTCTGGAAAGGGTATGGATTTAGGAGTCAGGTGGGCCTCTGAGTTTGGGTCCCAGCTCTGCCTCTTCCAGCTCTGAAACCTTGAACAGGTCATTTCCTCAGCTTTAAATGAGAACAAGCCCAGCCTCGCGGGACTGGCGTCAACACGGAGTTAGATTTATAGCTAAGACATCCAGTGCCATGCCTGGTACAAGGGGACCTCCCTTTGTCCGCGTCTCCCAAAAAGTAGCTGATTTTATGCTCTTTTGTTGTTGTTGTTGTTGTTGTTGTTGTTGTTGTTGTTCCTACAGAAGCCTGTGTGTGATTCCTTCTAGACAAAAGCTATTTCTTCCTTTCCCTAATGGGACAGGCATTGGTGTTTAGCATCTGAAAACATACGTTTCTTTCAGACAAGAGAGAGCCTCTAACTGTTTCAGTCAAGTGTTCACACCGATTGCATCCTAAATCCTCCATCAACAAGGCATTTCCAGCGGGAGGTAGGACTTGAATCAGGAGTTGCTTTCTTCTCTCTCTTTCTGTCTCCTCTCCCCCACTCCCCCCAAATCAAACAAGATTTCCTTGACTCTTTACTTCTATTCTGGCAAAGGCAGGAAGGGCCACGGTGCTCATAAGGTTTTCCACGAGTCTAGAAGTTCTTCCAGGAACGGGTCTGAAGAATAGTATGCTTTTGCTCATGCCCAGCAGAAAGGCTGAGAAATATCGGTTGACTGAAATACGGATTGTGTTGTGCCTGAAACCATTTCTCCTTGTCAGAAGAGCCTTTCTTGGCTGGAGCATTTGGAACAAGGCCCACGTGCACCATTTTACTCTTTCACGCGGGCACAGCTTTAGGGTTGCTGCGTTTGTTTTGGATAGCTTCATTTTTCACTGTGGGATTTTGAAGAAACTCAGTGCCAGTCTAAAATTTCTGTCATTTAAATTTTTCCAGAACTTTTGGCTTCTATTTTTTGAACTTCTGAAATCTTTCGGGTACCTCAGATATTTTTATTAAAAAGAAAACCCAAATAAATCTTGTGAGATTATGATTAGGCAATATTTCTTCTCCTTAATTTTGAGGGTAGGGGCCACATGAGGCTACTGTTTTAAAATGGAACCATAGTAAATCATGATAAGATTTTCTTTCTCTCCATCATAATTGGAAGTATCAGTGATTCCTAGATGCATTTTGGTTATGGATGATTTCAGTAATTTGTTGCCACAAAATGAAAAATAGTAGGATAAATAGGAGTATTCTGTTGCCTGCGGTAGCTGGTAATGCCTCAGAGAGACGTTTATCAGCTTCACCTAGAACACTAGACAGTTAGGTAGTTCTACTCTCCCCCAGTCTCACTAAAAACGAACCAGAACGTGTACCTCGGCAGTGGTAACTCTCAGTCCTTTTGCAAGAAAAGCTGTACGATATGGCAGACTGTCTACTAGGGGAATCTCAACCACAAACCCAAGTATACCATCACCAACTACTTATTTGAGGAAAACTAGAGGGAAAAGCAAAATAGTCTTAACAAATGGAAGCCCTGACACTTGAAGAAATCAGTTTAATAAGGCAAACACAACTGACACTAGAAGTTAATGGTACCCAAATACATCTTCCAAGACATTCACCCTATTGAAAGATCACCTCAGATATATCTGTTCTTAATGCTTTTTCATCATCTGTGGCCTTTGTGACACAGTGATTTTTCAAATTTCAACATGCTCCAATGGACAGATCCAGGGTTATGTGAAATTTCCAGGTATAACTCTTCCCCATTCTTTCCCATTAAGGAATGTCTCCTACTCCAAGTGAGTGGAAGCATCCTGATGCAAGCAACACTGGCAAGGCTGAAAACAAACTCTAGGAATGCTTAGTTGTAAAAGTTGAACCTACTATGACTGCTTAAAGCAGAAAATAAAACTTCTGAGGGGTCCAGTCTAGGCAGAGGTTACCAAATCCTTTTTCCTTCCTCATGAGAATTTGACCTGGGTTAATTCGCTAACTCTGTTTCTCTGGAAACCTGCTAAAATTTTCAGTATTAACCGTGCTATCAAGCAACATTGCTTGTGGTCAGATTGACCCTAGATTGATCCATTAGATCTGGTTTGGTAGTCCTATAAATACTTCATAAACATCCAGAGCTTGGGGCTGCTTTGAATTCATTGACTCTGATAACTGGCAATGTTTGCACAGGAGCCTTGGCAGCTATTTTTATGCAGTTGTTACAAGAGATATTGGGGTTCATAAACTAGGGAAGTTTTCCCATCCCCCCGAGTGGATCTCCTCTCCTTGCACCTGAGTGTCACCTGGACAGAAGATAGCTCTGGAATGGCTGGGTGCATTGCTATTAGGACTTGCACTAAAAGGGACATCTGATGTTGTCCCATGGAGTCCCATGAGTCTAAATGTTTAGTAGAGCTTAAGACTGCTGGTGGACATTGAAGCCAGAGAACCAGCTTTGAGGATACACAAGCTGGAACAATGCCCAAGTTGCACCCCATCCAGCAGAGACCTCCCATTCTCCAGGGCTGGGTACAGACACTTGACCTCACACCACTGAGGCTGGGCATTGTACACTCCCAACAGGACCTCTGTCACCATTACCCCTGAAACCTCAGTGTCTCTGCTAACACCCTGTCAGCTCTATGTTCCACCCATGTCACACCACTGGCTTCCCAATCAGTGGAGCCCAGGCCACATGCCTGCACCGTAGCTGCAAGGGAGTCTGGGAAGGTGAATTTCTACCTTGTTGAACAATGGATTAATCATATGGGAATATGCCAAACACAGTAAGATCATCAGTGATTCTGGGCAACCAAAAAAGTTGACAAAGTTCCACTATACTCTTCTATTTTACTTTATAAAATAAATAACTCACAAGTGAATCATTTGCACAATTTAGTACTTTTGAGCATTATTGGCCACACATCTCATAGGACCTCACTAGCTGTTCCTGGCATCCTAAGCAGGGATGCAGAAGCCTATTCCCAGGGGAAGAATTCTACTTCCTCATCTTCCTAAGGGCAGTGATCACACCTGGTGCAAAAGTTCCCCAAATACCCAGCCCAGTGCTCGTAGGTCCTGGAGAAATTCAGAGTCAGTCGATGAATGAGACACGATAGAGGAGAGGACCATATATTAGGCCTATTTTATGCAGAGCTATATGGGAGCTTCTGTGGACTGGCCTGGCATCTCAGCCACCATATAAATGATTCTAAGGGGAAAATAATTATGTTGCCTTCTAACATAATTAGAATTATGTTTTAAAACATGATTCATTTGTAACTCGAGCATTGCTGCAATTTATTTCATCTGGCGAGGGTGAAAACAAACTCTAATCCCAATAGTTTCAAACTGTAAGTTACAGCCCATTAATGGGCCATTAAATCAATGCAGTGCAGAGCCTGGCAAACTATACCCCATAGGCCAAATCTGGCCCACTGCCTGTTTTTATAAAGTTTTATTGGAACACAGCCATGCTCATTTGTTTACACATTGTTTATGGCTGCTTTTGCACTTTTGATTTAGTTGTGACGGACATCACATGGCCCACGAGGCTGAAAAATACTCTGACCTTTTCCAGAAAAATTTGCTGACCCCTGATGTTCTGAGTTGTAACCTGCATTTTTAAAAATGAGGTAGAATTGAATTAAAAAGTAAAATTCGAATATTTTACATGAGGGACTGAAGGGTCCCGGGTTCGATTCCGGTCAAGGGCATGTACCTTGGTTGCGGGCACATCCCCAGTAGGGGGTGTGCAGGAGGCAGCTGATCGATGTTTCTCTCTCATCGATGTTTCTCTCTATCTCTTTGCTGACCCCTGATGTTCTGAGTTGTAACCTGCATTTTTAAAAATGAGGTAGAATTGAATTAAAAAGTAAAATTCGAATATTTTACATGAGGAAAAGTAAGTATGTTTTATGAAACTTTTTTTCAGTTATGTTAACTGGCATTGATTAACTTACCCAAGATCATGTAGTTAAAGTTGCAGAACCAGTGTTTGAACTCTTGGAGTCAGACCCTGGTCTGTGCTTGTATTCATGAGTTTGTTTTGCTATCGATGGGCTATAGTTTTAAAGAAATAATGTTTGACTCATCCCTAATCCCTAAAAATTTTTAAATAATCCTCCTGACTGTTTATAGGATATAAAACTAATATACGTATTAAATAAAATGTGGTGAGTACAAAACAACAATAAAGAAGGAATGTTGGATCACCCGCAGTCTCTGCATTCAGGAATAAGCGCTGAGACCATGTGGGGCATTTCCTTCCGACCTTAGTTTTCTGCTGATATGTAATTTTTTGTGGTTGTTTCACAAAATAAACATACATAGTTGATCTCTATTATTGAATAATCTTCAAAAGCAGGGTTTTTCAATGGCCTGTTGGATTATTGGACAGGGGATTTAATGTCAAGAGAGACCTGGGAACAAGCATGCTGAATGTGCTTTATGTCGAGGATGATAAAACAGAGGCCTAGTTGGATGAGGGAAAATGTCTGGAGTCATAGCACACAAGCACATTTGCAGTACCTCAGTGCCTTTGCACATGTTTTGCCCTCTTCCTGGAATACTGTCTCCCTTCTGCTCCATCATCTGACCACCTCTATCATTTCATCCTTCAAGACTCATTTTAGGCATCACCTCCTCCAAGAACCCTTTTCTACTACCTCAGGATGCACTGAGTGTCCATCCAGGGCCTAGTTCAGTGCATAGCATATAGGAACTGCTCAGTAAATGCTTATGGAACTGAACAGAGCTGGGTCTGAAACCTGTGAGTTCTGGCCCATGGCCCAGAGAGCCATATTGCTGTTGTCAACTAGGCAGCCCTCAGCTTAGTACTGGCTCTGCTGTTCCCTTGCCCCAGGCCCCAGACCTCAGCTATAAACAAGAAATAATAATCCTACTGCATGGAGTAATTTCAATGACTGGTGAACTAACTTCTGTAAAAGCCAGACATAATCACGGAAACATAGCCGTTGATCCATTAATGGCAAGAATTATGATTTACTCCTTTAATCTAGGTTGACCTCTTCTTAGATATTATAAGAGATTTTGATTGACACTTCGTATGTGGCAGGCCCTGCTCTATACCCTTTATATGTATTAACTAATTCAACCTTCACAATTCCCCTTGAGGTAGGAGCTAGCCTTACCTCTCCCCATTTTACAGATGAGGAAACTGAGATGCAGCGAGGTTATACAACTTCACATATGGGCAGGTCTGTGAGTATCAAAAATATCAAATGAATGCTGGGTGGGTATAGCATTCATGGGGGGCAGGAAGGTGAGAGAAAAGAAAGTGAGATCTTGTTCGGAAAAGGTGTTGGATACAGCAACAAACTAGACTGGAAGGAAAGTTGAGAGACTGGCCAAGACGTCAGGACTTTCTCCTATAAGCAGTGAAAAGCCAGAAGGGATTCAAGAAGGGAAATGAGACCAGAACTGGATCTGACACCTCGTAAGCTCTCCTTAACAGCAGCATTAGGATGCCAGAAGGAAAGTAATCGACATTTGATGAGCACCTACTATGTGCCATGTACTATGGAGGCACTTTACTTAACAGAGTTTAATTGAATCCTTACATTAACTTCGTGAAGCAGAAATGTCTTCATCTACAGATGAGACAATTAATTCTAATTGCTGCTCAGTAGGAAAAGGCTGTTTGGAAGCTTTTGAGGTAACATTAAAGACCTTCACAGCACGTTAATTATATCTCTGGATTTTTTTTTTCTGGAGCCAGAATGCCTGAGTTAATATCTTGGTTCTAACTCTTATTAACTGTGTGACTTTGAACAAGTTACTTAACCATTCTGAGCCTCAGTTTTCTTATCAGTGAAAAGGGAGATACTATAGATTCTATTTCAGAGGGCTGTTATGAAGCTCTTTAATATCTATGTGTGTGTATGTGTATATATATTTATATCTCACTTAAAAATCCAGCACACATTAGGCTCTTTATGGATAATGGCCATTATTATTCTCACTGTCATGGTGCTTATAACCTGGGTGTACATGCTAGCAGGGCTTTTCAAACATCGATGTGCACTTGAACCCCCTGGGAGCTCATTAAAATGCAGATTCTGTTCATTAGGTCTGGGGTGGGGCCTGAGATACTTCATCTCTAACAAGCAACCAGGTGAAGTGATGCCGCTGGGCCATGAGCCACTCTGTGAATAACAAGATATTACATGTTTTGTGTGTTTGTCATTTATTTCCCCAACCTACTCCAATCCCCATTTTTAAGTTACATAAGGGCAAAAACAAACAAGCTTTTATGGTGACTTTTGCTCTCTGGTAGAGCTTGGCACATAATAGGGGCCTAGTAAACATTTCCCAGGCTTTGGGGGCTGGATTGAGCCTTGCAGGGCCTCTCCTCCCCTAACCTCATGAGATGCCAGATAGATCCCGCTGCAATTTCCACGATGGATGGATTCCAGAGGTCCGACGTGGCCGGTCTGCGGGATGCTCAGGCTCTGGAGCAGCGGCCAAGGGAAGACGCTGAGCATCGAATATAATGATCATCTTTAGCCTAGCGAGGTGGCCAACAGATCTAAAGTAGCTCAGGGATAGCAAATTAGCGACAAGCATGCAAGGGAAGGATGAGGCAGGAGTGACAGGTGTCTTCCCGGAGGAGAGGCAGCACCTCCACCTCCAGGGCTCCTCAAGCAGCTTAGCCTCCGTTACCCGGGAGTGTTTCCCAGCCAAGGGGGAGAGATTGCTCCCGACTGCAGGTGACAAGCCACGGGGCTCACATTTAACACCAGCCCCCTCTGCTAGCATGTGGGGATGGTCTGATCAAATGCATGTACTGCACTTGTTCACGTCAATATTGAGGCCTTTTCTGAATCCTGGCTCACTGGCTGACCTAACCAGCTTCTTTTTATTCTGTGGGGAAAGGGCAGACATTCTTACCTTTATGACACAAAGACTAAGGAACCATCGCTGTACTGTCCAGTACAGTAGTCACTAGTCATGGGAGGCTGTTTGAATTTAAATTGATTAAAATTAAATAAAACGAAAGCTTTGATTCCCCAGTACCACGAGCCTCCTTTCAAATGCCCAGTGGCTACATGTGGCTAGTGGTTTCTGTGTTGGACAGTTCAGAGATAGGATATTTCCAGCATCACAAAAACTTCTATTGGACAGCACTGAACTAGAAACTCAATGCAGGCCCCCTTTTAGGTAAAAGAGCCCATGATAATCAGCACTCCCCAAGCATTCAGGTAAGGAATGAGTGCAGGGACCAGGGACCAGCTCACCTGCCAAGTCACATTCCACATTCCCATGTTTTGATCATCTTAGAACTGAGGTTTTTAAAGCAACCGTCATCCTCACCATCACCACCAAGTTTTACCAAGTATTTACAACAGACTAGGCTCCCTTTTTTAAAATATATTTTTATTTCAGAGGGGAAGGGAGAGAGAGATAGAAACATCAATGATAAGAGGGAATCATTGATTGGCTGCCACCTGCACAACCCCTCCTGGGGATCAAGTCCGCCACCCAGGCACGTGCCCTTGACCAGAATCAAACCTGGGACCCTTCAGTCCGCAGGCTGACGCTCTATCCACTGAGCCAAACCAGCCAGGGCTAGGCTCCCTTCTAAGTGCATTAGCCATTGAGTCCTCATAAGAATCTTACGCGTATAGTAGCACCTTCATATCCTAGGGCTACAAGAACTTAACATTCTTGCTTTAATATACTTCCCCACTTCACAGTCACCCTCAGAGATACTGTCATTCTGCCTCTTTCACAGATGAGGAGAGTGAGGCTTAGAGAAGTTCAAGGACATGCCCAAGGTCACGCGGCTAAGCTAGTCAGTGGCTGGGCTGGAGGCTGAGCCCAAGCACTGTGATTCCAGAGTCCGTGTCCTCTGTGTCCCATGTGGCCCCGGGTCTGGCATCATTTGCTTCCACGTCTGTCTCTGCTGCCAGACTTTGAGCTCCTCCCAGGCTTTGCTCGTCCCTTGCTCTCTCGGGCAGCCAGCCAGGGCCTGGCACAGAGTGGGCGGGGTGGGGGTGGGGGGGAAAGAACAGTCTCCGCTCCTGGCAGCAGGAGAACGGAGCAGGCAGTGCAGCAGGGACCAGTGAGAAGGTTCCGGCAAGAGCCCACAGACAGATGACAGGCGCATGGCCTGACCGAACGCCATCCTCAGTGCCCCCAGTGCGAGATGCCACTAGCGGGCTCCGAAAGCTGCGGGAGCCTCCTGGGATTTCCAGTTCTCTCTTATTTGCCTGGACCTGGCAGCCCTTGGCAGCCCTGCGTCTGGGACCTCGAGCACTGTACCCAAGTGTTTTGAACAGGCAGCAAATTTTTTTTAAAGAATATGCGCAGCCCAGCCGGTGTGGCTCAGTGGTTGAATGTCGACCTATGAACCAGAAGGGCACAGTGCGACTCCCAGTCAGGCACATGCCCAGGTTGCGGGCTCGATGCCCAGTGTAGGACATGCAAGAGGCAGCCATCAATGATTCTCTCACATCATTGATGTTTCTATCTCTCTCCCTTCCTCTCTGAAATCAATATATGTATATTTATATGAAGAACATGAGCAAAACTCCACCCTTAAAACTGCCCAGTGCAAACATGGCAGGGGCCAGCGGGAGCCCAAGTGCCTGGGAACGGAAAGGCCAGAGAGGGAAGGCTCTCCCAGCTGAGCCCACTTCCAAACCTCTGCCCCACGCCAACTTTCCGCTCCTTTTCTTCCCTTCAGAAGGAGTGTATTGGCAGCTGCCAGCACACAGCGGGTTTCACGTGTTATGGAAAACAGCCCAGGCAGTGCAGCTGGTCACTTGCCCGGTAGACAGCGTGTCTGGGTTGGTTTTACGTTCCTCGAAGTCTGACTCCCCGTGCAGCCTGGTGGTTGTGTTGATTTCATCACCCTCTCCCCCTCGCTCCAGTTTGTTCTCCTCACGGGCTGCTCACGATACACACAAGGTGCTGGAAATTCAAAGGCTCATGTTCTCATATTTCTACTGAGTTATATATGCTCATTTTTCAAATTTTAGAAAGTCCAAAGAAAACATAGGAAAGAAAATTTAAATTAGCTACAGTTCAGCTACCCAGAGGTAGCCAGAATGATTATTTGACATATTTTCTTGTCTTTCTTTAAAAAAATACAAATAGTGAGGCTTTTTAAAATAGTTGTGCTGGGCATATATGTAATTTTATATCTTTTTTAATTTCACTTAGTATGAGCTTTTTTTTTCCCTACAAAACATCTGTAAGCATCATTTTTTAATGACTGCAAAATATTCCCGTCTTGTGGACGCACCATAATTTGCCTAACAGTTCCCAGTTTCCTGGTCGTTTGGATTGTTTCCAATTTGTGAAATGCAGCTTTAAAGCTGTGCACAGTCGCATGACTAAAACACCAGCGTAGAGGGAATGGCTATAAAAAGAGTAGTCTGCCCGGAGGGGAGCCACCGAGGGGTCATTTCACGCTGCCTCCCATGAGAAATTGCAGAAGGGCCCTGCAAGGCTGGCTTACCCAATCCAGCCCCAGCTATTGCCTCTTCCAGAAAGAAATGTTTTGTGGGAAACGTAAGGAGGATGGCACCCTTCTGGCCTGGGAGGTCTCCAGCCACAGTCATTAGCAAAGCTCTTATAGCAAGCCCTTCCTGGTGTCCAGGGCTGTTCCACACATACAGTCTCCCTGGATTCTGGAAGTGGGGGGACCAGCCAGGGCTGCATTTCCTGACGTAAGAGACTGACTCTAGAAAAGTCTTGAGATTTCCTCAAAGCCTGAGTGGCCAGATGGAAACGGAGGGCGGTTCTAGGGACCCCTGGGAAGCCCCGCCCCCTTCCTGGATTCCTGGATTGCTTCCAGAATGGAGAGGAGACATTGCCCAGCATCAGAAAGCTAGTCTTGAGCTCGCACCCTGTACCAAGCTCATTGCATACGCACTTGGCCACATGTATAGATTAGGAAGTCTCCACAGTTCCAGAAATCATTTGTTTGTCAGTTTGGTGGTCGTGTTTGTTTATCGTTCTGGGCTGTACGTTGTTGCTCTGTGTTTCTGTTTTCCCCCGGATATAAGAAAACATCGCCAGTGGAGCTTCCTTCGTTCTTTCAAATTCGTGTGTGAGTCTGTGGAGAGTCAGCCGGTCGGGTTCAGGCTCGCCCAGGAATTTAGGCAGAATGTGCTGGTGGAAGGAGGTGGATATTTTTCCCAGGCTGCTGTTCTCACCAAACAGTTCAATGCCAAGGCTGGAG